CTCCAGTTCACGGGGGTGGGGTGTGGAGGGTGCTGAAGTTCTCACCTTATACTGGGGGGGGGGTGGGCACGGAAGTGTGGAGGGCTAGAAGCGACCACCTCAGGATCATTTGTGACATTTTCAGCTCAGGGTATGGTACGATTTTCACTGTCTATACTTCTGTGATTTTGGGGACTGCATAGACCAAGTATAAACCATTGTTTTCACTAACCTTATAATAATGCAATACATCTTTTGTGATTGAATGTTTGGGTCCTACCTGCCCCTTATGGCGGGGATTTCAGGTGTTTTGTAACAAAAAACACTGTGAATGGAGGGCTGGTTCAATGTAAGTTTCCAGAAGCCCAAATCCTGAAATATACATTTAAAGAAGCACATTCAGAAATTCCTAGGAAGGCAAGTGAAAAGGGTTCCTTACGTCACTACAGTCAATGGAAAACCAGCATGGATTCCCATGCGGGGTGGAAACAAACATACGGATGGACATGTCCCATGAAAACTCTGCCGCGTTGCTCAATTCTAGCTCAGTCTTTCATCTGGGGAGGGTTCTCCGCCCCAGGACCATGTTCTCTTTGTTAACGAGGATCATCTTTCTTTTAGGAGATGAAGTACTGTAAGGGGTTGAACAGAAGGGATCTCTGGCACTGTCATTCAAGGCTGTTTAGTGATCTCTTCCATGTACCACCTCTTTGGAGGACACTGGATGCTGGAAAGAGGCCAGACTCTGTCTACACATCATGCTGAGCTTCTGCCCCAGCTTGGCCCTTCTTAGCCACATGGCTCCAGGCAAGTTCCCTGCTCTCTCAGTTTTTCCATCTCTAGAGGCTGTGATGCTGGTTCCTCCCTTTGAGACTTGTTCAAAGAGATCCCCCGTCGGCACAGCGGAATGTGCCTGTCGTAGTGCCTACTAGCACATAGTAGGTGCTTACTGGGTGTCTTCAGTTATGAAAAGATCAGGAAGCCCACAGCTGGACAGACTCCAGTCTGAGTTGCAACTGGTGCACAAAACATAGCACTTCTCCTTTTCTTTCCTTTTTTTTTTTTAATTGAAGTAGAGTTGATTTACAATGTTGCGTTTTTTCAGGTATAGAGCAAAGTGACTCAGTTATATATTTATATGTATATATGTATATATTCCTTTTCAGATTCTTTTCCATTATAGGTAATTACAAGATACTGAATACAGTTCCCTGTGCTAGACATAGGTCAGCATTTCTCCTTGATGTATTATATATACAACTGATATATTATAAAAATCACGGAAAGGAAAAATTTAAAGTTTGCCCCTAACCTTAGGATTCTGACACAGCCGTTTTCAGTCTCCCTTTGACCCATCATTGCCTCTGTAACATTGCTTTTTGCACTTAATGTTATGTGAACATTTTCCGTTATTCAGTCTGTCCCAAACATCACTAAGTGAGGGTGTCACGTTTCTCTGTGTCCTGATGGCTGGGCCTGGAGATTACTTTCAGTTATTCACAGCCCCATCAAATGCTCCAGTTGGGACATCAGCAGCATCCTGACCCTTAGACCTGACTGTTCAACCCATTACTTTGTATAATTCTAGAAATCCTTTGTAAAGCACTTTCCAATGTACTCAGTGCATTCAATACATACTTTCTTTTCACTTTTTTTTCCTACAAGATTGGATCTTTAGAAAAATTTCCAGAAGTCAAAAAAGGACAAAGATAATGAACATTTTTAATGGCCCTCCAGACAGCTGACAGTTTGCTTTCAGTGCAACAGGTCAGCAAACATATACAGAGTCCACTGTGCAATGGGCTTTCTCACCCACAGTGACAAGACAGACCTGTCACTTTGTATGTGTATTCGTTTTACAACAACTAGGCCCGCACTAAGTATTATTGTGTGTTTTTTTTCCTGGTTAAATAGTCGCTCTGGTTTGTAACGAAGATCTGTTTTTAATAAGTTTTCCCTTGGATGTGATTAATGGGTTTACATCTTAGCCTGCCACAGGAGCCTCCCAAAGCAGCAACATGTTGCAAATCAATTCTCCTGCCCACGCATTAGTCTTAGCCCTGTCTCTGTAGAACAAAGGGTTGGAATAGATGCCTGTTAACTCATGTGTCACCACGCTGGCAAGTAATTGTTACCGTGATCCCATTTTTTTCTGATGTGGAAACAGAGGCTCGGTGACACTGGACGATTTGTCCAAGGTTGCTTCGTGGTCAAATGCTGGCTCTGCCTTAAAAAGTGGGTCTTTCCCCACTCTGCATGGTTTGTACTGAAGGACACTCTGGGGAGGGAGTTTCGTCAGTCTAGAAGTCCTGCGGCGATTAACTGGGAAGGGGTCAACTTCATCTCCAGGATGAGCCATAGTGTGATTTTTTATTTTTTATTTTTAAATTTTTTTTTAGTTTTTGTGTCTGCATGGCACTCCCGCACCTCCCCTCCAGACTCCCTACTTCCTGAAGCTCTGGTGAAAACGTCAGGGGCCCCGCAGCAGGGATGGATTTGTACTGCTACCTAACACGCCTGTACCCCGCCGCACTTGGAGACCATAGGCATCCCAGCTCCCCTTCCTTTCAGCCCTGGATCTGCCCACTGTCTTCATGTGCTTTGCAAACCAAAGTACCCTTTCCATTAACTTTACCTTTCCATTAACTTTACCTTCAATTAACTTTAACAGGTTGGCTACGGATTTTTTTTTTTCCAAAAGGGACACGCCTTCCATTATTTGAAAATGGAGTCAGAGTCCAGGAGAGCTTCTGTTTTAAGCAAAGGCTGTAGCAAATCATCCGTAGGTAGGTTCTCCTCTCGTAATTTATCAAGGAAACTTCCTCTTTGAGTCTCAACTCCCAGTTTCCGGGATGCATAGATTAGGAGAGATGAAAGGGGCCAGAGAGCCCATATATCTTAAGAATTACAAAGTCAAATATCTACAGGAGCCGGGGGGTGATACAAGTGAGTGAAAACAGGACAATAGGGAGTGGTGGGGACTGAGGGGAATGGAGAACACATGTCCCGTGGATGGGAGGAGCACTGCTCACTTTCCCAGGTTGTTGCCATGAATGAAATGGGCTCAGTATGGCTGAACTTTTTATTCTTCAAGAGATGCTAAAACTCCAGATTTTTAGGCGAAACATCCCATTTTTATAAGTGAGAAATAGATCTGAATTCTAAGAGAAATAAAAAATGCAGGCCAAACACCAAACAAATCGGCAGACTGACTTTGACAGAGGGCAAGCAGTTTGTAATCCTTGATCGAGTGGCACTGTTTATTTTACAGACGTAGAAGCTGAGATCCAGAGAGAGGGAATGACCATTATTGATCACTCGCTGCAGACAGCTTAGGGGTCTTCAGATAGAAGAAGCTGTATCCGCCAAGTGCAGATCTGCAAAGTCACTTGGAAGTAAATTTGGATGCAATCAGGGCCAACTGCAAAAGTTAACTTTAATGGAGCCCTTGCTACCTTCTGGGCCCTGTGCTGGGACACATCTCGTATGGTCATCACAGCTGCTTTCCAGATAAGGAAACAGGTTTACAGACGATAAGTCAGAATAAAGGGTGGGCCAGTGTACGAGAAGGCCTGACTCCAATGCTTGTGTTCCTCCAAGCCCGTGTCAGCTGTCTTCTTACATAGTGAGTCTCCTGTCCCTGGTGTACCAAGCAGAGGCTGTATTTACAAAGATTCTTGTAAAGGAAGGGAAGCAGGACCAAATGCCACTGGAATTTCCTGCAAGGTGGGGTTTCTCAACGTTGGCACTGTTGCTATTTGGGGCCGCATAGTTCTTTGTTGTCAGGGCTGATCCTGTGAACTGCAGGACATTTAAGAGTATGCCTGTCCTCTACCCAGTGATCTTCTTTAGATGCCACAGCACCCCTCTCCCCTAGTTGTGATGACCAAAATTGTCTCTATACATTGTCAAATGTCTCCCAAAGAGCTAGATTGTCCCCAGTTGGGAACCACTTCTTGAAAGTTTGAAATTTTCATGAATGTATGATTAGGGGTTT